TGTGACAGACGGACGGACGGACGGACAGCGAAGTTTAGTAATAGGGTTCCCGTTTTTACCCTTTGGGTACAGAACCCTAAAAAGCCTTGAAAATGTCAATAATTAACATAAAGGAAAAATCAACTAGCTCAACTTAATGTAACTCAACTAGAATCTGAAACTTATATGACCTGATAAACTAAACGCCACTATTGTGTATTATTGTAAATATTCACAAACACATTATGCCATACCAAATGTAAGAATAAAAGGGTTTAAGTACCCTTTTATTCTTACATTTATCATCATCCTCGAAATGCTGAGACAGACGTGTTTCTTTGATAGAGCAAACTTTCGAAAACAAACTTAAGTTTGAACTGTTATTTGATACATCCACTGCGCAGATATAAAATCGACACTTTTCTAGTTTTGGTGATTTTTTTGTAAAGTTATAGGTGTATAACTTACTTTATATCTCTTGAGTCGTTTCGCCACGCTCGTCAAAAACTTTTAAGAAAAGTAGTAAAAGAAGTTTTAATGGGAAATATTGCTATGATTATCTTTTCAGTCCTAAGACAAGTAGTTTACTTGCATATGTGATAAAGACAATGTAAAAGTGTTATATAATGGACAACTTTTCTTTGAGTATTTTTTTTATATTTTTGGTTTGTGTACTTAACCAACTTATAGTATTATTAGCATATCAAATTCTTTGTATCTGTGCTCTAATCTATCGATGACTTATGGTAAGTGATTTTGTATAGCTTGAGAGAATATAATTGATGATGTGAATTTTTCTCAAACTAGAGAATATTTCCTTATATTACACATGATTAAAACGTCACTTTACTTCTAAAAAGACGCTAAATTATTTGTTTTGTTATTTTCAGTTGCCTAAACAGTGCATCTATATTCTGTATGGTTGCTTAATTTGTACCACTAGGATTTAGCGGCATATGATCTAAAAAGTTCATCCCAGTGAGTATTTTATTCCCTTAAGGGAAATATGTTCTAGATGACGTCGTGGTGACGTTACCAGGCCCTTCTTGTGCCTGATATGAAGCAATAAAACACAGATACACGTAACCGTTCGCTAATGTTCCCTAAATGTGATAAAACTTTGTTCATCTAACCCAACCTAACCAAAATTTTACGTACATTTTGTTATTATATTGATATGACCAATAGTGCTGTGCGCATGTGAAACGTGGACGTTCAATGCAACGGAAAGTTCGTGGCTAGTGATTTGGGAAAGAAAAACACTGACGAAGATTTTTGGAGGAAAGAAGATAGACAACATATGGACTAGAAGAACAAATGAAGAATTAAAGCAACTATATCGGGCACCGAGTTTAACGGGAGTAGCAAGAGCACAAAGACCGAGATGGCTGGGACACATTGAAAGAATGGCGGAAGCAAGAATTCCTAGTATGATAATGAAACGTGAAATAGGTGGAGAAGGAGGGGTAGACCGAGAATCAGATGGAAAAAGGATGTAGCAGAGCAATTGAGAAGTGGCTATTATATATAGGTACGTACACCGTGGCCGGCCGAAGTGCAAGCAGTAGTGTGTCGATCTGTGGTGCGAGAGATGGGATGGTACTGGGTTCGATCCTCAGCCAGTACAGTTGCTTTATTTGTTTAAATAAAAATATTGATTTATCTAAATAGAGTGACAAGCGAGCCGCCACCTCAAGGAAGGCAATGGTAAACCACCTTGAGTATATTTGCTTTGTACAGCCTCTCAAATAGTGCCGTTCGGATTGGGTAATAAACTGTAGGTCCCGTGTAGTTGTGAAACACTGATGACGCACATCACAAGTACATGTGAGAGATAGCCGACGCTCTGTATAGAGTATGGCACTGTAAGAAGAAGATACATACACCCTAGTACATATTTAGGTTTGCACTAAACTAAAACAAACAATTCAGCAGTTTTTTTATTCTAGGAGCTACATATGCCCGATGCACTATTGCTGGACCCTGTATATTTTAACGTAATTATTTTTAACATTGAAAATAGGGAGCCCAGGGGTAATAAGGGAGAGGGGTAATAAGGGAGCCCAAATCGAATTAAAATGCTACATTTGCCACACCATGACGTCATATACACTACTGGCAAAGGAATATTAGCAATAGGAGGTTTTCAATGCGATAAAAAAAGATGGTAAGGCTGCAAAATACACTGCAGTGCAACAGAGACGGATAAAGTGTCTTTTCCCTACCATCGTATAAGGGAAGTGATCATAGAAGTGATACGACGAGAGAGCCCCTGCGAGAGGGGGCGCCGGGCGGGTCTTTAAGACGCTTGTGTGGGGGCTACCGCCTACTAATAGAACAGAATCGAAAAAATAGAAACAGGACGGACAGTGTTGCCATTCAATTAAATCGAAATTATGTTGGCTTGTCAAAATCCTAAATCTTCTAATCCCATTATCTTGCCTACTTAATGAAATATTAAATAAAGTACGAAACAATTTTATGAATGTTTTCTCTAGGCACATAACTTCTTTCTAAAACGAAAAGTAACATGTAAAACTTTGATATCATTTCTAAAATAGCAAGTGCAATTCTATGAAATGGCAATACTGTACGATCTTCCTAGCAGTCGCCCCGACACAGTGGGTCGGCGGCGGCGCTTCACAAAGCCACGGCTGTGACAAAGGAATTAGGCCGAAAAAAACTTTATAAGGAGTAGACGAACAGGGTTGCCGGGTTTGTTAGATTATAATTCCATACGATAACAAAATTCTCGGTAGATCTTCAACAAAAATTAAAAGTACAGAAACGAAATAAAATATAATATTTAAGTCCAAAATTAGCATTCCTATGTGTCGTAATAATAGATCACTCAAATAAAATACAAATATAATAAATATAACAAGAATTAGAAATAGCTAGGTATATTATTTAATATTAAAAAAAATATTGAATTAAATAATATTAATATATTAATAAAAACATACAAAACTATAACAAGTAGGGATAGCAGTCACAAATTAGTGTAGCAGTCACTTTTTACCTTTGTACAAATTTTGATCAGTGATATCTAAAATTAATTTCATTTCAATGGGAAAGCTGTAGCAACTCTCAACTCTTTTTTCATATTAATATATTTTTTTGACTGGAAAATCACTAAAATATTTGTCCGAATTTAGGTTGTTTCTTAACTTAAATTTTGTTTTTTGTTTGCATTTTTTGGGGGAAAATATGGGTTCAACTTTAGTAGATGAATGAAATAAAATCTTTTCAAAAGATATCAACTTCTTCGGGCATGTCGCCAATACCGCGCCTAATAAGGAGTAATAAGGATTTTTAGGAATATCTCTGTAACTCTGCAACTAGACAGAACGATGACATGTATGTGTGTTATTACTAAATAAAATTTAATGAAACAATAATAAAGTCAGATTATACAGATTCCAACGCGGCAGTCGCTTAATTTTTAGTCAAATAAGTCAGCTTTTAAAAGTGCTTCTATTGTAAAAACTAAAGACGCAGTTGAATATATCGTTAGATTTTTCTTTAAATCGGTAGATCGGTAGCTTACAGACGAAACCGGTAGACCTGGCAACTCTGTGATGAACTGACGGGAGTCGGAATAGCGAGGTGCGGAGGCGCGGGAAGGGAAATAAAATAATGGCGATAAATAAAGGGCAGGGAGATGGGTATCATGAGTGGATGGGAGGTGGCGGAATTTCCAAAGTTTGTTATCTTATTGGAGTTTGTCTAAGTAGACAGTCGTAGTGGAAGTGGAAACGGAGAAGTTGTTGTCCATCTCTGTTTAAGCATAGACTTTTTATAGGCGTTTCATTCCAATGCATGTAATTCCTATGCCTAGAGATCCATTGCCGGGCCTGTATAATATATGATGTCTGGCGTATCATCACCGGATTCCCTATCGTTCCGGCCGGATAATTTATTTGACGAATTTTTACGTTCTCTAGTCCACAACCCTGTTGTCGCTCTGTGGAGGCGCTGTCAACATCGCTTCTGTCAACTCTCTGTGCTGTCGACTGACTTTTGCTTTTAGCGCTCTGTAGCCGAACCTAACCATCCCGGCTTTTAGAAATGGTGATTATTTAAATCTTGCTGTATAATTTGAATCAGCTGCTATTTCAAACCAACAGGTAAAGATGAGATATTATCCTTTTAGATTCGATATTATTATTGCATATTTTTAGGGTAGAGTTTTGGATGTCCCAACCTAACTTGTATTTGTATTTTGCTGGCACGTTGGCGTCCCTTTTCTTTTGTCCTCCAGAATGTCACATGGAAGGACATGTTCTTTATTATTTAGTGAGCCCTCGGAAGTAATTCGAGGGTCCAAGGTACGGACTATTTACAAGGTACGGGCATTATCCAAGGTCCTAGTAGTATCCAAGGTACGGGTAGTGTTCCCCTGTACCGTTATCTTATTGACGGACTGTGTCCAAGGTTATGGTCCAGGTTACGGACATTATCCAAGGTCCTAGTAGTGTTCCAAGGTACGGGTAGTGTTGGGTTAACTACGGCAACCCTGTAAGGTGCAGTTAGAAAATGGACTGGTCCAAGAGAGTTCAAGAGGGGAGGACGCAGAAGAAGAACATCTTTTGACCTTTGAAAGACATTATCATTTTACTTAACGTGAAATTCTAATAATATTGACGCTTATACATAAGTTTTTTGGTCCTTCGAACCCGATATTTGGCGAAGAATTTGGAAAAACAGCAACTACAATTGACAACGCAATTTAATGGTTTTTATTCAACAATTGTTACCACAAGAAGTTTGCTATCGCTACAGGTTAGTGTGCATCCTTTTTTTTTCCTTTACTTTACCTACTTTACAAGCCATTATTTGCTCACTTTATTCGATTTTTATCGATTTATATTGAATTACTTTACCTATGCTGTAATTAACCGATTTAAGCCACTTAACACGTTTCTTGTACTTATTTTAATTATTTTAATTGAGGGATTTAAACAAACATTTACTTATTACATCTTTAACATAACTATTTAAATTTTAAATACGTTAAAATGACTGATGAACTTAAAAACAAAAGACGGGTCATTAAAGCAGCTCTCACACGATTTGAAAATTACTTTAACTTAAAAAAGTCTTTGGAAAACCTTCCTTTTGAAGAAGTAGAACAATTAAAAAACAGATTACTTAAGGCTACTACATTTTTAGATGATTTTAATGACGTTCAAATGAGCATTGAAAACTTAGACCCTGAATTTGACAAAAATTTCGATTCACATTCAGAACAACGTGAAAATTTTGAAAATCAGTTTTACCGTATTACATCTGAAGCCAAAAAATATTTAGACAATATTATTACAAAACAAAATGCAGAGTTGAACTCTCAAAATGTACAACAAACAGGCACTGATAATAATATGACTTTTGCATCGATAAAACTCCCACAAATTAATTTACCCACATTCGATGGTGCCCATGATCAATGGCTTTATTTCAGAGACACTTTTCGATCACTCATTCATAATAATAATTCACTAACATCTACACAGAAATTTCACTATCTACGTCTTTCTCTAAGAGGCATAGCAAACGAAACTATTTCATCTCTAGAAGCTTGTGACGATAATTATCAAATTGCTTGGAATATTCTGCAAGACAGATTTGAAAATAAACCTTTACTTGTTAATAATCACATTAAATCAATTTTTAATTTACCATCTCTCACTAAAGAATCACATCAAGGTTTAAGAATGCTACTAGACGGTGTTCAGAAACATATAAACGCCTTAAAGGTTTTGAAACTTCCTACAGAACATTGGGACGCACTTATTATACATATAATAACTTCCAAACTTGATAATGCTACAAGACGTTCTTGGGAATCTACAATTTTTAACACTGAACTACCAACTTATAACGAACTTATAGATTTTTTAAAAGAAAAATGCCGTATATTAGAAACTATTGAAACAAATTACATATCAAAATCACAGAAGAATTATAAAAATGAACCACCTCTTAAACGCGATTTTAAAACATTTTTAACAACAGAAAATAAATGTTCGATGTGTAAAGGTGATCATACAATTTATAACTGTACTTTTTTCCTAAGTCTTTCTCCCACTGAAAGATTTAGTGATATAAAGAAAAAGAAATTCTGTATAAATTGTCTTGGTTCTAATCATGTAACAAAAGACTGTAAATCGTCTGGTTGCAAAAAGTGTGGTAAAATTCATCATACTTTATTACATTTCAATGAAAATCCTAGAACTCATGATAAAGTTAGTACAGGAATAGATACACCATCCAACTCAAACACACCTTTAGTTTCACCTTCAACTTCAACAACGCTTACAATTAATAATTTATCGACAAATGTTGCTTTGCTATCAACAGCTAATGTTAATATATATGACTCTAACGGAAAATTACATAGTTGTCGAGTTTTATTAGATAGTGGTAGTCAATCCAATTTTATATCTGAGAGACTATGTGATATATTACATTTAACCAAGGAAAAAACATCATTTTCTGTTTCTGGGATTAATCAAATATCTGAAATACTTAAACATAAGGTTATTGTTAAAATACGTTCTGCTACAATAAATTATGAAGCGAAATTGACTTGCTTGGTTGTACCTGAAATTACGGGAAATTTACCCTCAGTATCTTTTGATCACACTTTGTTAAACATCCCAAAACATATACAATTAGCCGACCCAAACTTTAACATTTCAAAACCAATTGATTTACTGATCGGCGCTGACTTATTTTGGGAACTACTTAGCATTGGGCAAATAAAACTGGGAACTGGACTTCCTATTTTGCATAAGACAAAACTTGGGTGGATTATTTCAGGGCCTATAATTAATAATTTTCACAATAAAACAACATGCCATTTTAATCAAAATATTGAACAACAACTTCACAAATTTTGGGAAATTGAAGATTTTCATAAAAATAAATTTTTATCGACTGAAGAGTCTTACTGTGAACAACATTATTCAAAAAACACTGAGCGAAATTCTGACGGACGTTTTATTGTTAAACAACCTTTCAAACAATCTGAAGACATTTTAGGTGATTCGAAAAATACTGCTATTAATCGATTTTTAAATTTGGAACGTAGGTTTGAGAAAAATTCTAATTTGAAAAAAGAATACCAAAATTTCATAACTGAATATCAAAATTTAAATCACATGACTTTAGCCAATGATCAAACTGACATATCTGGATTTTTCCTACCACATCACTGTGTTTTTAAAATGGATTCAACTACAACAAAACTACGAGTTGTTTTTGACGGTTCTTCTAAATCAACTTCTGGATATTCATTAAATGACTTATTAATGGTGGGACCTAACGTTCAAGACAGCTTATTTAATATTTTAACACGATTCAGATTTTATCCTATTGTTTTAAGCGCAGACATCGAGAAGATGTATCGACAGATTTATCTCCACGAAAGCCAACGTCATCTACAAAAAATTCTGTGGCGTCCTGATAGAAATCAGGATCTGCTCGTATATAATCTTAATACTGTGACTTATGGAACAGCTTCTGCTGCATTTCTTGCTACTCGTTCTCTTCAGGAGATAGGACATCTAGAAGCGAATGACAATCCTAACATTAGTGATATTATTTTACATGATTTTTACGTAGACGATCTTCTCACTGGTGGACAAACCCCACAAGATGTAAAGGAACTAAAAGATAATCTTTATAAAACTCTTCATAAATATGGAATGAATCTACGAAAATGGCTATCTAATGATAAATCTATCACTGCAGATTCCGATGACATATTTATTTCTCTTGATTATGACAACCAAACTAAGACGCTAGGTTTACTCTGGAATTCTCTATCTGATTCATTGCAATTTAATATTAAACACGAAATACCCGATAAGACTACTAAACGCACGATACTTTCTTCAATTGCTCAAATTTTTGATCCAATGGGACTTTTGACTCCAGTCACGATGACTGCCAAAATCATTCTACAGCAACTTTGGAAGATTAAAATTGATTGGGACGAATCTATACCTGCGGATCTGCATACAAGTTGGTCCACATATAGAACCCAACTTATTCAATTAAATAAACTTAAAATTCCTAGATTAGTTCTTTGTGCAAATGCAGTCGAAATACAATTGCATGGTTTTTGTGATGCTGCTCAACCTGGTTATGGAGCATGTATTTTTATTCGTTCTTCTGATGCTCTGGGAAATGTTACTTCTAATCTTCTTTGTTCTAAATCCAGAGTATCGCCATTAGCACTTACTACTATTCCAAGACTAGAACTTTGTGGAGCCCTTCTACTTGCTGAGCTCATGAATAGTATTTTGAATTCTACGAAATTTGATATACAATCTAAGGTATACTGGTGTGACTCCACTATTGTACTATCCTGGCTAAATACTTCTCCACATCTGCTAAAGATATTTGTTGCTAACAGGGTGGCTCAGATTCAATTACTTACAAATTTAAAAGAGTGGAGATATATTAATACTCATGATAATCCTGCAGACCTTCTAACTAGAGGTATAACTCCTTTAAAATTTATTGACACTAAAATTTGGTTTACGGGACCTTCTTGGTTGGTCAGTGAAGAAATTAATTGGCCACATTGCAAATTTAATTTTTCTAAGGAAATTGATGAAACAGAGTTACGTAATATAACAGCAGTACACTTAATTAAAAACGATTTAAAGGAAAATAACATATTAATGCTTTTAGAAAATTGTTCAAAATTTACAAAACTTTGTCGTATACTTGCTTATGTCTTACGATTTAAAAACAACATTCGCAAAACTAAAATAACACATTTTAGCGGTCCTTTAAGTTTAGATGAGATATCAAGTGCTCTTTTTATTCTAATTAAACTAGTTCAGATCGAATCATTTTCTGAAGATTATAATACCTTACGTAAAATGAATAAATTACCTAAAGGTTCTAAATTACTTAAACTAAATCCATTTTTTGATGAATCCAACGAAATTATAAGAGTTGGAGGCCGTTTACTAAATTCTGATTATACATTCGAAAGAAAACATCCTATACTCCTTCCCGCAAAACACAAACTTACAACTTTAATTGCGGAAAACGAGCATATTAATTTATTACATGCTGGTCCTCAGGCTATGTTAGCTTCTTTACGACAGAGATATTGGCCACTTAATGGACGCAATTTAGTTCGAAAAATATATCACAAATGTGTGAAGTGTTTTCGATTTAACGCCAAATCCGTACAATACATCATGGGTAACTTACCAAAATCGCGTATAACAGCTTCTCGCCCATTTTCCTTCTGTGGAGTTGACTATGCAGGTCCATTCACAATTAAAGATCGTAATGGCCGTAAATTTAACACCACAAAGGCATATATATCACTGTTTGTTTGTTTCGCTACAAAGGCGGTGCATTTGGAGCTAGTTAGTGATTTAACAACTGAATGTTTTTTGGCTGCTCTTCATAGATTCATGTCTAGAAGAGGTAAATGTACACAAATGTTTTCGGATCAAGGTACAACTTTTATTGGGGCAAACAACGAGTTAAAATCTTTTTTCCAAATTAATGGTGACAAATTAACAAACAATTTAACAAATCAAGGAATACAGTGGAATTTCATTCCACCTAGAGCTCCACACTTTGGTGGACTATGGGAATCGGCTGTAAAATCGGCTAAATACCATATAAAAAGAGTAGTCGGTAATTCTATTTTTAATTTTGAAGATTTTAACACTATTCTATGTCAAATAGAAGCTTGTTTAAATTCGAGACCTCTCTGTCCTCTGTCTGATGATCCTGATGATCCTACTTGCCTCACTCCTGCACACTTTTTAATTGGAGAACCTGTTACAACTATACCACAAACCAATGTTCTGGGTACACATCCATCTAGACTATCCAAATACCAACACCGTCAACAAGTTGTACAACACTTTTGGTCCAGATGGTCGAAAGAATATGTTTCTCAACTTCAAGTCCGTACCAAATGGAGAGAACAACACAATCAAATATTGAAACCAGGTTTGCTTGTCATCATAAAGGAAGACGGCTTACCACCACTCAAATGGCGGATTGGGCGTATTCAACATGTGCATCCTGGGTCAGATGGTGTGACACGTGCAGTAACCATTAAAACTGTCAATGGAACATTCAAACGTCCTGTTACAAAGATTAGTGTTTTCCCGAGCAACGAAGACTAACATCTTTGAAACACGGAGTGCTTTCAAGGGGGGGCGGTATGTTGGGTTAACTACGGCAACCCTGTAAGGTGCAGTTAGAAAATGGACTGGTCCAAGAGAGTTCAAGAGGGGAGGACGCAGAAGAAGAACATCTTTTGACCTTTGAAAGACATTATCATTTTACTTAACGTGAAATTCTAATAATATTGACGCTTATACAGGTAGTGTCCCCATATTGCTACAGTATGGATACAGTGTAAGCCCCATGCTGCTTCGCTCCCATTTCTCAGTCTAGTCAGTAGCTTCGGTTGTATTGATTCATGGTGTCCTCATTCTGGCCTATTTTGTTCTTTTGGCCGACAGGATCGCCGACAGACAGCTAAGTGTAGATTTGAGTTCTAGTTTTACATTTAACATCTAAAACATTTTCAGTCTTAACTTAACGTACATTTTAAATAATATCGTACAGACTATATTTAGTGGTTAGATTATTAAGAACATTTATGTAGATTTAGTAGTTACAATATGATTTAGATCTTAGGTTTCATTACATTACGCCTTGTAATAGTATTTAACCACTATAATAATTATTAAAATTCTACAATGTCATTTACCAACAAAGAACATCATGAATAAATATAGTCATTAGTTTTAAGTAATATACAACTGTGTTTTCTTTCTCTGTACATGCCTGGCGCCCAATATCTATATTTTTTTGTTTATTGTTATTGATTAGTTTTCTCTCTAGTGAAATACCTTACCCACGACTGCTCTCCGATGAAAAGCTGCCGTTCGCAGTGGTAATGTTTATAAAAAACGCTACATTACAACAACGAGCGTGAACGATTAAAACGACGAGGTCGTAGACCCAGTCGTTCTAATCACAAGAGTGTTGTAATCATGTTTAAACGCACGTGTCATGTACAACGTTTTATCTAAAACCGAGAAATAATAAAATACTGTTTTAATTTTCGTTTATTAGTCGCCCACCTTTAACACCTTTAACTGTGACATTTGTCATATTTTTTTAATTATAATTGTGGGGAATGGTTACCTGCTTCAGACTATAGTTACAAACGTTGTTTATCAAGTAATAGAGAGTGTGTTTTTTTCTGAAAAGTCAGTTTGCCCTGTCAAGTAAAGACGAGCACACAAATCATTTTAAAAATTATGATGAGCGATTCCGAAAGTCTCCCTTCAGATGTAGAAGTTGCCGCAGTCATTATTGCCGGAAAAGTTGCGATCAAAATATGAAAAAACATACAACCAGTTTTTGACATTGGATGACAAAAAGGTAAAAAGTCAATGCAATGAAAAAATAATTTTAGCATATTTTGAAAATCTTGCACGGAAATACAGCGCATCAAGTCTATGGACGTTTTATGCTATGTTGCGAGGCACAAAGAAAACAAGAAAATTGTTGCGCAGCACATTTTGGGATCATGAATCGATGGGGAAGTATGCCAGCCCGAGTGCGAACCAAACCGATCAACAGCCCAATTTATTTCTTGTTTGAAGAATTGTTTTGAAGAAGTGTAAAAAATGTGTTATTAATATTTATAATAATTAGTAGTAGGAATTTGTATCAAAAATTAATATATTTAGATGTTCGTAGTTGTTTTTCATTATTATAAAAACTAGTTGTGTGTTATACATTCATAACACCACTATTTGTGTTATGAATCTCATAACGTAACTGAAATACTAAAAAAATAGTGATGTAAAAACGTTATAACTAAATGGTTGTAGATAATAGCTATTTATGTAACTAGTACCTAAAATGATGTTTTTTAGGACGAATCATTACTGTTTGCGGACGAGGCGTTAGCCGAGTCCGAAATAGTAGATGAGTCCTAAAAAACATAATTTAGGTACGTGTTACATACACTATTTTTTGTCATACGCTTTTTACAGTTTTTTAGAACGCATATTTGCAAATTTTCCATATTTGAAATTATAATGTTTGAAAAAGTTGGCTTATAAATTCATATCTTAGTAACGAGTTTGTTTATTTCATCGCATTTTGACATGTCATTCGAAATTTGTCACAAAATCACACAAATTCATCAACAATTTTAAAATGTTCCAAAATCCCGAACATATTGCTAATAAGGCCAAAGAAATCGTGTTGGATTTACTTCCTGTGAAGTCTCGTGCCATTTACCAGAAAGAATATGATGTTTTTAATGAATGGAAAGACAAAAATGGCGTATTCGTTGTAAATGAAGATGTATTGCTAAATTATTTCCACGAAAAAGTAAGTACCTAGGTACCTATTTAAAAGAGGCTTTTAAATTAAAATATTCTTAAATTACAGTCACAAACATTCAAACCATCGTCAATTTGGTCGAAATATTCCATGCTGAGAGCAGTGTTAAGTGTTAAAGAAGATATTTATATTGACAAATTTCCAAAACTTATTGCTTTTTGAAGAGGAATTCGGTTGGTTACGAGCCTAAAAGTCTAAGGTTTTGTCCATAAAAGAGATCGGTGATTTTTGGCCACGGCTAGTGATGAAACTTATTTACTTACTAAGGTAAGTTTGCGATAATGATTTTTAAAATATATAGATGGTTTCTTATTCCATTGTATTTGATTTTTAGGTAGCTCTTGTCATTGGCCTTTGTGGAGCATGTAGAAGAGAAGAATTGTACTCTCACGAGTGCAAGACATCATAGAAAAAGACAACAGCTGCCTTTTAGTTACCCTTGCGGATACAAAAACTAATATCAAAAGAGTGTTTCCGGTGGTGAACGAAGGGAACGTTGTCAATCCAGTTGAGTTGTATAGAAAATATGCTTGTCTTAGGCCAAAAAATGTACCACATGATTATGTCTTCATCTCTTATCGTAAAGGAAAATGCACCGTGCAACGAGTCGGCATTCATTCATTTGGGAAGATGCCATCGATTGTAGCAGCATTTTTAAAGTTGTCGAACCCAAACGAATATACAGGTCATTGTTTCCGACGTAGTTCTGCTACTCTTGCTGCAGATGCAGATGTGGATTTTACATCGCTGAAACGCCTAGGAGGTTGGAGGTAAAAATTTTAATATTTTCCGATCTTGTTCTAAACAACAATAATTATTTAGGTCGTCCACAGTGGCCGAAGGTTACATAGAAGAATCTATTGAGAAAAAGAAGAAAGTTTGCAAACTGCTAATGGGGGAAAAGAAAATCGCGACCACTTCCACGGATGTATTACCAAGTACATCATCGTTCGCATTTACTCCACCTCATCAGAAAGTAAATTTACCTGCCAATGGAGGAGTCGTTTCGATTGCAGATGCAAGTTTTCAAAATGCACAAAATTGTTCATTTCATTTTTATTTTTCCAAATAACTTAGCTTTTGATATTGTTAGTATTTAATAATTTAAAAATCAAATACAGTGGAATAAGAAACCATCTATATATTTTAAAAATCATTATCGCAAACTTACCTTAGTAAGTAAATAAGTTTCATCACTAGCCGTGGCCAAAAAATCACCGATCTCTTTTATGGACAAAACTTAGACTTTTTAGGCTCGTAACCAACCGAATTCCTCTTCAAAAAAGCAATAAGTTTTGGAAATTTGTCAATATAAATATCTTCTTTAACACTTAACACTGCTCTCAGCATGGAATATTTCGACCAAATTGACGATGGTTTGAATGTTTGTGACTGTAATTTAAGAATATTTTAATTTAAAAGCCTCTTTTAAATAGGTACCTAGGTACTTACTTTAAACAAATAACTTAGCTTTTGATATTGTTAGTATTTAATAATTTAATTATAAATATATGTATAATTTTATGTGATTTTGTGACAAATTTCGAATGACAAAATAAAACAACCAAATAACGAATTTAGACATTTTAGTCCATAAAGGTTGCCATGACGACCTTTACGGCCTAGGCCGAAAAAGAAACATTTTACGGACTGAAATGAGTCCGTAAAATAGCTGTTTTTGGGAGCGTATGACAAAAAAATATTTACAGATTTTTTAAGTATTATAATACAATAACTACCCCAGATCATGTATACTTACGTAGATAAGTAAATAATTAAAAAATTTCAATACTGCCTATGTGCTAATTTTATTACTGTACGCATGGTACTGCTACTTTTTCTATTCTCTATCATTCTCGCGCCAAAGTTTAATATAAATTTCAAAAAATTATATACAGGGTGAGTCTTAAATAAATGCAAATATTTTTCGGGGTTGTATATTTCGACCCCAGGAACACATATATACGTTTTTACAGGGTTAGTACACAGTTACAGGGTTTTTAAATGTCTAGTAGCTAGTAGTAAATTTAAGTATACAAGGTCGGTCATAAAGTTTTGGCACGTTAATGAGATCAAACAGATCGAAATTAATTATTATTAAATATTATTAAATCAAATTATTAAAAATTATTAAATAAAAAAAAATATTAAATTATTATTAAATCGAATTATTTAAATGGTATTTTCAATAGTCAATAACGATTGGTTTTAGGTACATTATGTGTATTTCGATTTTTGCTAAGAATTGAAGGAAGAATTGAAATATGCAATAATATACAGGTGATGTGCCACCACTTTATGACCAACCCTGTATACATAAGTTTAGTACTCGCTAATAGACATTTAATACTCTATAACTTTTATATTTAACTTTTTTGCGGTACCTCGTATATTTTGCCTGATAAAATCGACCGTTCTATCAGCGATCCTGTATATGACTTTTACAATTCCCAGGGTTCAGAGTTGTCGCAAGAGATCTTTAATTTATACTTTTTCAACCAGAAAAATCATACTTTTTGTTTAAGATATTTAAACAATGATAATAATTATCCTTTAATTATTGACTGAGGCTAATACTGGCGGATGTATGGTGGAGGCTGTACAAAGCAAATATACTCAAGGTGGTTTACCATTGCCTTCCTTGAGGTGGCGGCTCGCTTGTCGCTCTATTTAGATAAATCAATATTTTTATTTAAACAAATAAAGCAACTGTACTGGCTGGGGATCGAACCCAATACCATCCCATATAGTA